CTCCTCCTCCTCCTCCTTCTCCTCCTCCTCCTCCTCCTTCTCCTCCTGCCTCCTGCAAACCCCACTCCCTTCTAGCACTGATGATGTTACCTACTTGGGTCATGAAATATCTGGCAGAAAAATTGTATGACTGAGAGCATCTTTTCAACCCTGAGCTGCAACTGATCCCCTTCCTTGATTCCATTCTTTCGCTTTGCGTCCGTCTCTCTCTTGCCGGATTTACGACCATCTGCAAACGGGGAGCAATTTCTAATCTTCACCCTCTTTCCTTTTTGACTTAACGTCTCTCTCTCCACCCTCGCTGTCCTACTCAGAAGACTCCCCCCCCCACCCCACTTAGTTTGCACGACCGGACGATCCAAATTCTGATTTCCCTTTTAATTTTCCCCCGGCCGCCTCTGATTTTTTTTTATTTGAAGCGCAAGGCTGATTTGCGGGAAGGTACCCAAAAGGTACCCACTGCTCATTAACATAAGAGAAAAGCGCATTGTTTCCATAGTAACACGGGTGGCACAGCACACATGAAGTATCACAAATGTCTCCCCCCCCCTCCCGCATCAACCAAAATCTTCCTTTTAAATATTGTATTTTTTGGACTATAAGATGCACCGGAGTATAAGTCGCACCAAGATTTTAAAGAGGTATATTAAAAAAAAGAAAGTTTTTGCCCTCCCCGGCAAACTTTCCCTATTTTTTTGTGAAAAGGGGGCCATGCGGAGAGTTTGAGAGGCCTGCAAAGTGCCACGGAGGACAAAAATGCGATGCGTAAGGGGGTTTGGTTGGGGAAAAATGAGTCCGTTTTTTTGCAAAAACGGGGCTGCAGAGAGTTTGGAAGGCGCAGAGTGTTCCCGGAGGCTCGGGAGGGCAAAACCAGCCTCGTTTTTGTGAAAAAACGGGTCCATTTTTCGCTCATTTTTGCCCTCGGGTCCCAAATGGGATGTGCGGGGTGGGGTTTTGGGAGGCCCAAAATGCTGTATTTAGTGTATAAGATGCACCCAGATTTTCACCCTCTTTTTNAGAATATAGAATAGAATAGAACATAGAATAGAACAGAATAGAAGAGAGAAGAGAATAGAGAATAAGATATAGAGTATAGAATAGAATAGAGCCGAGGTGGTGCAGTGGTTAAATGCAGCACTGCAGGCTACTTCAGCTGACTGCAGTTCAGCAGTTCGGCTGTTCAAATCTCACTGGCTCAGGGTTGACTCAGCCTTCCATCCTTCCGAGGTGGGTGAAATGAGGACCCGGATTGTTAGGGGAAATTTGCTGACTCTGTAAACCACTTAGAGAGGGCTGAAAACCCTATGAAGCGGTATATAAGTCTAACTGCTATTGCTATTGCTAAGGAGAATATAGAATAGAACATAGAAGAGAAGAGAGAAGAGAAGAGAGAATAAAGAATAGAGAATAAAATATAGAATATAAAATAGAATAGAATAGAACATAGAATAGAATAGAGCAGTGTTTCTCAACCTTGGCAACTTGAAGATATCCGGACTTCAACTCCCAGAATTCCCCAGCCAGCATTCGCTTCAAGTTGCCAAGGTTGAGAAACACTGGAATAGAGAATAGAATATAGAATAGAATTCTTTATTGGTCAAGTGATTGGACACAATTTGTCTTTGGTGCAGATGTTCTCCATGTACATAAAAAGACAAGCAAAATCGTTTCCTGTGGGAATCAAAGACATTCCAATGGGAAGGGAAGGAAGGAAGGAAGACAATGGATCCCACAGCCATGCCTGAGCCACCACAGGTGCCCCTGACTCGAGTGACATTGAGCTGGCCCGTGGACAACTGTCCATGTTCCCCCGCCCCCAGCCCTCCAAGGTCAAACACAGTCCTAATGCGGCCCTCCATAAAATCAAATTTGACAGCTCTGCAATACGATATCGGCCCTAAAACTTTTCTTTGAGGAATCTCACCTGCTTGGGAGTTCTGCTTTCTACAGGGGCCTTCACTTGAGCCAACCCCGACACGGGGATCTTTCGGATGGTGGCCTGACCCTTCGCTCTTCCCTCTCTCCTCTTCCTTCCAGGGCTCTTCACCTCCTCCTCTCCACCATGCCCCAAGCGTCGGAACATCGCATGAGCCGGGCTCGAGAACAAGCCGTCATCACCTCCCAGCCGAAAGCCACCCACAAGCTGCTCAATGGGTGCCGGGCCCCCAGCCAAGAGCACCGTGCTTGCTGCTCCTCTTCCGCCCTCTCCAATGGGCTCTCCACCCTCAACACCACCGCCGCTTCCAAACTCCGCCCTCTGCCCCCCCGGCCGGGCAACGTGGAGGAACGGAGCAAGAAAATGGAGCTGGAGCGTGGCAGGGCCTCCAAGCGGGGCGAGGTCCCCCGCGGCACGTCGTCATCCCGCCGGGGACCCCTCAAAGCAGACCACGCCCTCCGGGTGCCCAGCTGCCCACAAGCCTGCACAGTCTCCAGCAGCAGCTCGTTCACCATGCCTCCCGGAGTTCTCCTGGGCGGGCCGGACTCCGAGTGCCGGCGAAGCAACCTGCTGCGCTCCAAGTCCATCAGCATCGGGGATTTGAGCCACCCGGGCAGCCGCGGCGAGGAGCAGCTGAGCCTGGCGCTGAACCGGCTGACCCTCCAAGACCGCAGCCCATCTTGCAGTCACAAGCTGGGCCTGGGCGCCCTGGCTCTGAAGAGGAGCTCGTCCCTCCGCAGGGTCAACGTGACGTCCGGCCTCGACGGCCGCCCTGCCGCTCCGCTCCTCTCCGTTCGCACGGAAGGCTATCTGAGGACTTGCAACATAGACCCGCAGGCCCTGGAGTACGGACGTCCCCAGGATATCCTGATGACGACGAGCCCGCCTTCAAACAGGACTCCGGTTCTGAGCCGACTGGAAGACAAAGCAACCACCGTAAGTATTGTGGCCCGCCAGCGGATCTGGCAGCAGATTCGGACAGTGAGGAGGGTTGGGGAGGAACCTGGGCCAGTCCTGGAGTCTGAGGAAGGCTCGGATGAGGGCTCTGTGTCGGAGGCAGAGAGGGGCTTGAGGCCGTCTGAGAGTTATCAGCTGCCTTCAGAGTCAGACATCCGTGAGGCAGAAGAGCAGCTGGAGCCTGTTCCCAGTGTGCGCATGCGCAGAGTTGCCAAACAAAGGGAACAGCTAAAGAACAGGGGTCGACTTGGGAGGAAGGCCACAGGTGGGCGGTGAATGGCCCCTCCCAGAGGCAATAAAAGAGGAGCGAAAGGGGAGTGGAGTTTGCAGGCGAGNTCCCCTCTTCTTCCCCTTCCTGCCCTCTCTCCTACTCTTACTTCCCCTCCATTTCTTCCTCTCCTTTTCTCTTTCTTCTTTGCCCCTTCCCTTCTTCTCTTCTCCTCTTCCTACCTTTCCCTCTACCCCTCTCTCTAGAAATATGACCCTTGTTGCCATCGCCTTCCGGCTGTTGGTGCTGGGTTTTTTTTGTTTTGATTTTATCTTACTTTCTCTCTCTGTCTCTGTTGTTCCTTCGACCCGCCCCGGGTCCCTTAAGTCGCCCGCTCCGCTAATTAATCCCATCGCGGTGAGTCTCCAGAGTTACCAAGAATAGCTGGAAGAAAGGGGATTGGCTCGTGAGCTGGTGGCTTATAGAGGCAGGTGGGAGGGCTCCGCAGCCCTTTTACTCTCACCGCTGAATGGGGCGAGGCATAGCTCCCTTGTCCGGCTTCGGGGGGCGGGGGGTTCCGACCGGAGCTATGCCGGAGGTCCAGGGTGCCACTTTGGTGGAACTGCCTCAGAAATTGCACCGCAACTTATGCTCCAAATGCAAACTTAATGGCCGAGGGACAGACATCTCCGAGTCGGTCGTCCATACGGCAATGATGGGGCTTCTGCTGATGACCAGCAAGGTAACCCCGGGAATATCCGTAGAAAATAAGATTTGTAGCTCAGGGTTGAAATAAGGAGGTCCTTGGTGGTCTCTGAGCATGGTTTTTTTTTCTTGCAGACGTCTCATGACCCAAGTAGGGAACATCATCAGTGCTTCATTGCCGGAGGTTTTTAAGAAAAGATTGGACCACCATTTGTACATCATAATATAGGGTCTCCTGCTTGAGAAGGGGGTTGGACTAGGAGACCTCAAAGGCCCCTTCCGTTATTCTGTCTTCCTTCCTTCCTTCCTTCCTTTCTCGTTGTCTGAAATGGTATAGGGTTTCCTGCTTAAGCAGGGGTTTGGACTAGGAGACCTCAAAGGCCCCTTTCAATTCTGTTATTCTGATTTCCTTCCTTCCTTCCTTCCTTCCTTCCTTCCTTCCTTCCTTCCTTCCTTCCTTCCTTCCTCGTTGTATGAAATGGTATAGGGTTTCCTGCTT